TAGGCTGCCGGGGATTCTTCTTAAGTCACTTTTTCCCCTCACTATGTATTTATATAGCACTCTGCACTTAATGGTTAATTATTAATCTCTGGCTCTCTTCCACAGCATGTCTTTATCCTGTCTTCCTTCTATTACCCCAAACTGGTTGCGGCTGATGGCCCCGCCCCTCCCTGAGCCTGGTCCTGTTGGAGGTTTCTTCCTGTTAAAATGAAGATTTTCCTTCCCACTGTCCCCAAAGCACTGGGTCATATGATTGTTGGGATTTTCTCTGGTTTCTTTGTATTATTGTACAGTACAATATAAAGCGCCTTGAGGCGACTGTTGTTGTGATTTGGGACAATATAAATAAAACTGAATTGAATCGTAATCTGAGCACTGATATGTATTATAGTGAAAATGAGGGCTAAAGATAACAATAACCAACTTTCTTAAATTTTGAAATAGTTATAAATCTAATGTAGAATCTAATCTATGGACCTGAAAAACACATATGTGCCAATGCTGTTCATAGACTAGCTCCGCCTTCAACACCATCATACCATCCAGACTCACCATGAAACTCCGTGACCTGAACATCGGCTCCTCCCTGTGCAGCTGGATCCTGAACGTCCTGACAGACATCACCTCATCCACACTTCCACTCAGCACAGATGCCCCCCAGGGATGTGTGCTCAGCCCCCTGCTGTACACCCTGTTCACCCACGACTGTACAGCAACACACAGCTCCAACACCATCATCAAATTTGCAGATGACACCGCCATCATCGGCTGCATTTCTGATGGAGATGAGACGGCATACAGGGCAGAGGTGAGAGCCCTGACATCGCGGTGCCGCGACAACAACCTGCTGCTCAACGTCAGCAAAACCAAGGAGCTCTGTGTGGATTACAGGAGACTGCAGAGAGGAGGCCACACCCCCATCCACTTCGAAGGAGCAGAGGTGGAGAGAGTCAGGCGCTTCAGATTCTTCTTCCTGCGGCGCCTGAGAAGATTCAGCATGAACCCCAGTATACTTACAAACTTCTATCAATGCACCATTGAAAGTATTCTGACTGGCTGCATCACCACCTGGTACGGCAGCTGTAACGCTCTGGACTGCAAAGCTCTGCAGAGGAAGTTGAGATCAGCGCATCACCAGGACTGAACTGCCAGCCATGCAGCATCTCTACAGACAGCGCTGCATGAGGAAGACGCAGCGGATCCTCTCTGATCCCAGCCACAGACTTTTCTCACTCCTGCCGTCCAGCAGGCGGTTCAGGAGCATCCAGACCTGCACTACCAGACACAGGGACAGTTTTTACCCACAAGCCATCAGACCTTTGAACTGCTGACATCCCATACACACCGCTACACACTCACTACAGTTACAGGACTCTGCACACTGTCACTTCAACAAATGCCACTTAAATGCTCGTTGCACAAACTTGTAAATACCAACTCGTCTTCAATTCTCTAATGTTTAATACTTTATTTCTCTCCTTTTCATTATTATTATTATTATTATTATTATTATTATTCTACAGCTAAATTCTGTTATTTTCCTCTTAATATAACTGCACACTCTCTACATGCTCATGTAAAGCTGAGGAGCACGGGCCAAAGAATTTCATTATGGATGAATGTGGATGCACAGTTTATCTGTACATGACAATAAAACATGAAACTAGGTGACCTGCTCTACCTCCTGATTACATCCTTTGTTACGAGGTGACACCAACAGGCTGAATACATGATTAGGAACACTGGCTCTGTGATTGGCTGCAAACCATAAACTTGGAGGAAGTCAGTGAACACTGAAGTCACTTGTTCTTCATGGTGAGTAATCCTAACCACCCTCTACACCACTCACTCGCAGCACAGCACTTTGACTAACTGACCGATTTGACACCAGTGTCAAAAGAATAGAGGCATGTGCTCCTTCATTTGATCTTATTTTATTACACATTTATAATAGTCAGAAAATAGATATTATATTTATGGAAATGATGAAACTAAAAGCAGCGTCTGTGTGTATCATCTAATCTGGGTGCCATTCTGTCTGAAGTCCAGCGAATGCACAGCAGTGGCCAAGGCTGCATACAGGTGGGAGCTGTTGAACCTCAGGCAGTACACCGGGCTGCTCACAGGGTCCGAGCTCAACTGGAAAAACTGCAGAAAAGACAAAACTCCAGATGTAAGGAACAGCATCGAGTGCCACGACATTTATAATCCATCACATCAGATCCTGGACATGTTGCTGTGTGGAGGTTTTTCTGTGGCCTGAGGATTGAGATGCATTTGTTAGATAATTCCTCAATCATCTGACAAAGAGGTCCTCCACATGACTGTGTAGAATTAATGGATCCTCACCACCACCTCCTCCAGCACATATTGGACACGCAGCTGAAAACTTTCTGTGCCACTGGCATCACATAGCGCTACACCTACATGAATTTGAACCTTTTTATTGTATAATATTTAGATTTATTGAACAAAAAAGTCACTTTTCTTTAAACTTTGTTGGTTGCTGTAACACATAATTGCCCAACTTTTGGGATAAATGAATAGTTTTGTGTTCTTTTAGGCGTGTCAGACACTGTGTTTGGTATATTTCAGTTCAGTCCTGTTTCTGTCCTTACCTGCAGACATTCAGTCTGCCGTTTGTCCCAAAGACGTACAACACCGTAATATGAGGAACCGCTGGCTATCATGTGGTTTCCATCTGTCTGGATGCAGTACAGCGCGCTATCATGAGGCTCCTCCCACTCCATTGCACACTTCCTGTAAGAAAGGATGACTTAATGCATGCTGATATGAAAGAAAGATTATTGTTATTAAATTTGTAAATATATGTTTGTAAGCTGGATTTGTAAAAGCATAATTGTAGTTTACTCTTCATGTCAGATTCTCTGCTTGTCCCAAAATATGGCAAAAACATGTCAAACCTTTCGACAAGCTTACTGAGGTGTTAGTGCCCACAGCGTTTAAATCATATGTACCATTTTTCAAAAATGATATACTGTTGCATTTCTTGTACTAAGCCAACTTCAAAGCAGCCAATAAAATTCAGTGATTATGCAGCAGACTAACACTTAGGACCATATCTTAACAACCTCACATCAAAACTGTTGTTTGGGCTTTGTCCCAACTTGTTCGTTATCCAAAAACAATCATTTAACTACAATAACGTCGCAGTGAGCAAGCGTGACACGGTTCGAGTCATAGTCTTCCCTTCTTCATCTTTGCCAACATCTGACAACTTAGGATGAAGTTAAACAACACAGTCGAACATGGTGGGCGTCTAAAATTTATGGCACATCACAGTCCTTGTGGAACTAATTGTTTCTTTCCATTTCCATTAAATTCATGTGTTCAAGTGTATTTCTCAAGTTACACAGACATAGACCTGTTAGCACAGCTCATATATTTAATGCCAGGATATAATAAACATGAATTTGTGGTTATGGTGAATTTGTCAACATTAAATTCGTAATTTAATATCCTGAAATTAAGAATGCAAGTCGGGATAATGTCCTCACACGTGATGTAAACACAATTGGACACACAAGTGTGTCAAAGGTGTGTTCTTGGGTTGTTAAGCAGCAGAGTGACTGTTACATGCTGTGGGGATACGATTTTTCTGTCAATAGACATCAATCCTCCATTAGTGCAGCCTCATCAATAAGTGATGGAGCGACACCGGGACAGACATTGGTGTAAGGAAGTGTGCATGCACACACACAGAGCTAACCTCTACGGGGAGCTGACCTGCTAGACTCTGAAAGTGAGACACATAAACAATGGAAACCACAATCAGAAAGACTTTATTAACCCCAAAGGAAATGATTTGGTCACAATGGCTCCATCACCAGCTGCTAATATTATCTACAGGTTTTCAATAAACTGCATGCTCAAAACAACGTTTGGTCCCGTTTCTTCTTTTTTACATGTTGAAGCTCGAGTTGGAAACTTGTGAAGATTCAACCATGCAAAATATGATTTTTTGCAATTTTTCAAGCAGTCTTAAACTTTTGATCAGGACTGTATTAAGTTTTGTCACAGTCTGCCAGTCCTCACCGGTCGACCTGGCCGTTGTTTCCGTGTGTTGTGTTTTTGTCTCGCCTCCTCTCCCAGTCTCCTATTTTCCTGTTTGTGTGTTTCAATTCAATTCAATTTTATTTATATAGCGCCAAATCACAACACCAGTCGCCTCAAGGCGTGTTTCTGTGTGATGATGTGTGTGTGTTTCCAAAAGTCCGGTTTCACGTGTCATCTGACCTGGAAGTCTTCCTGTGCTGAAGTCGGCCACACCTGCTGCTCATCGTCCTTCACAAGCTGCAGCTGATTGTCATCGTCAGCACCCTCCCTACTTAATTGTGCGGCTGAGCTTCAGTCGACGCTGCATCGTTGAGTTTACTTGTCAGCACAGCGGTTGATAGCTTATGAAAACTTTGCGTGTGTTTGGATTGCCTAGTTGACAAATGTGTGTTTCTTCACCAGGAGTTGGGATCGGAGTTTGTCGTGGAAGCGGGGCGAATGCTGAAGTGAGCACAAGTGGTACTGAGAACGCACCCTGAAATCACATGTAATGACTTTTTGGCTAAATTGTTTCTGTTTTTGACGAGGTTTCCCACCAAAAATGTGAATTACACGTGTAAACAGTGTCCTTCCAGGGTTTCATAGTGGAAAAGGGGCAGCTTTGGCTTGAAGTGGCCCAAGCCGAAGAATCAGAAATACAGTGGGATGCAAAAGTTTGGGCAACCTTGTTAATAGTCATTATTTTCCTGTATAAATTGTTGGTTGTTACAATAAAAATTGTCAGTTAAATATATCATATAGGAGACACACACAGTGATATTTGAGAAGTGAAATGAAGTTTATTGGATTTACAGAAAGTGTGCAAGAATTGTTTAAACAAAATCAGGCAGGTGCATAAATTTGGGCACCACAAAGAAATGAAATCAATATTTAGTAGATCCGCCTTCTGCAGAAATGACAGCCTCTAAACGCTACCTGTCGGTTCCAATGAGAGTCTGGATTGTGGTTGAAGGCATTTTGGATCCTTCCTCTACAAAACATCTCTCGTTCCTTCAGGTTTGATGGCTTCCGAGCATCAACAGCTCTCTTTAACTCACAGCACAGATGTTCAATAATATTCAGGTCTGGACTGAGATGAACGTTCCAGAACGTTGTACTTGTTCCTCTGCATGAAAGCTTTAGTGGATTTTCAGCAGTGTTTCGGGTCGTTGTCTTGTTGAAAGATCCAGCCCCGGCGCAGCTTCAGCTTTGTCACTGATTCTCCAGAATCTGCTGATACTGAGTGGAATCCATGTGTCCCTCAACTTTGACAGGATTCCCAGTCCCTGCACTGGCCACACAGCCCCACAGCATGATGGAACCACCACCATATATAACTGGAGGCAGCAGGTGTGTTTCTTGGACTGCTGTGTTCTTTTTCCTCGATGCATTACGCCCCTTGTTATGCCCAAATAACTCAATTTTAGTTTCATCAGTCCACAGCAGCTTATTCCAGAATGAAGCTGGCTTGTCCAAATGTGCTTTAGCAGCTCTGTTTGTGCTGTGGGCGGAGCAAAGGCTTCTGCATCACTCTCACATGCAGCAACTCCTTGTGTAAAGTGCACCGAAAGGTTGAACGATGCACAGCGACTCCATCTGCTGCAACATGATGTTGTAGGTCTTTGGTGCTGGTCTGTGGGTCGACTCTGACTGTTCTCACCGTCGCTTCTGTCTATCCGAGATTTTTTTCGGTCTGACACTTCAAGCCTTAACTTGAACTGAGCCTGTGGTCTTCCATTGTCTCAATATGTTCCTAACTGTGACAACAAACGGCTTAAATCTCTGAGACAGCTTTCTGTGTCCTTCCCACCATGATGGTGAACAATTTTTGTCTTCAGGTCACCTGAGAGTTGTTTTGAGACCCCCAATTCTTCAGAGAAAATTAAAAGAGGAGGGAGACTTACAATTGACCCCCTTAAATACTCTTTCTCATTATTGGATTCACCTGTGTATGTAGGTCAGGGGTCACTGAGCTTACCGAGGCAATTTGAGTTCCAACAATTAGTTCTGAAGGTTTTGGAATCATTAAAATGACAACAGATTTATGCACCTGCCTGATTTTGTTTAAACAATTCTTGCACACTTCCTGTAAATCCAATGAACTTCATTTCACTTCTCAAATATCACTGTGTGTGTCTCCTGTATGATATATTTAACTGACATTTTTTATTGTAACAACCAACAATTTATACAGGAAAATAATGACTATCAACAAAGCTGCCCAAACTTTTGCATCCCACTGTAGTTGCAGATGTTGAGAGATTCACAAACTTTTACAGGCGGTTTATCAGGGACTTCGACACAGTGGTAACATCCCTCACACAACTTGACCACTGAAGTGTCGTTTCAGTGGTCTCCCTCTGCTCAACAGGCTTTCGACCAGATTAAGCAGCTGTTCTTCTCCACTTCTATCCTGGTTCAAGGGGACCTCAGCAAACTCTTCATGGTGGAAGTGGACGCTTCTCACCCAGGTCAGAATCACACGTCAGTTTCTTCAGCATCTGTTTTGTTGGCCTTCTTTAGTGAGAGACACACATGAATATGTGACGACCTGCTTGGTTTGCGCACAAAACAAGGTGCCAAATACTCGTCCCGCTGGCCTGATTCGACCTCTGCCTACTCCAAAGAGGCCGTGGTCTCACATTGCCTTGGACTTTGTCACTGGCCTCCCGCCTTCATCAGGTAACACAACCATCCTTACCATAATTGACCGTTTTTCCAGGTTGGTGCACTTTGGGCTCCTCTCCATGAGCCCAATTAAATATTTGTAACCTACAATTTGTAGGTTGGAAGAAAATTGTCTTTTTTAATCACGACACATCCTTATCACACTGAACTATGTTGAAAAGGTTGATGGAACCCACTGGAATAAATGAAGGCTGAAAAATAGATTTCAGCTTTGAGATACAGGTAGTGCTGCAAAGGTTCAGCACCCATTCTTAAAAATGTTAATAGGACAATAGAAAAGTAGACTGCACACAAATGGGGAAATTCCTCTTTAAAAAATACGATTTCTCAATGAAGTGTGGAGTTCTAGCGAGGCACAAACATCAACCTATGGAACCAGTTCTACGCTGCACTTGACAGACACGACCACGACTTGTGACCCCATACAGACAGAAGGCAGCACACACTGGGAAGATATCGAAGTATCCTGAAAGTTTATGATCTTCAGGTGAATAATTATAAAGATAAATTTGAGGTGATTGGAACTTTTGTCAAATGAGTAAAAAACAGGCTCTTTTTTTATTTTACATGTCTTGCTTGTCAAATTTCCTCACAGCAACTTAACTTATTGATACTGTGTCTATTCTAGGTTGCCCTTAAGTGGTTATGGGGACCATCAAGCATAGGCATGAACCCCCTCAATGAGATTATTGTCAAGACTGGCTACGGATACCGAATACAGGGATTCCCAGGTACTTGTAGATGTCTTCGATATCTGCAATGTTGCCTTCTGGTAGCTTGGTCCCCTCGGTTCTGACTACCTTCCCTTTCTTCGTTACAATCCGACTACACTTCTCCAATCCAATGGCATTCCTTGCTGTAGATCCTGGTGGTGTGGATCAGTGAATCGATGTCTCGTTCACTCCTGGCACACAGCTTGATGTCATCCACGTAGAGGAGGTGACTGAGGATTGTCCGTAATGCTGCATTCACATCTTCTAGGAGACCTTCAGAGGGGACTTCCTGTATTTTAAATG